CGCAGAGCTGATCAGTTAATGAACTCAGAACATTAAGCAATGTGAATAATCTCAATGCTAAGGCAGGGAAACAACTATGTAAGAGGGCAAGGCGAGGAGTCTGAGTATAGGAAGGCATACTGGTGATTTCCAAGAACACATTCACATTCGGTGAGATCTTGGGCATCCTGAGCTCCATCTGCTGAGAATAATGTGTTTCAGACACTATCACACAGTAAACAGATGTATCCCATGTAAACATCACAAATGCTGTTCTTCAGGAAGAATATTTACATTTGTACTTTACAAATGAAGAGCTAGAACCTTGAAGTCACATGGCTGAGACCTTTGTCTAAAGCACAGCAAGTAGCAGAGCTGGGACTGAGACGCTGGTCCTTCTGGCTGCATTGCTCGCTGCTGTCAGTGCTTTCTGGGTTGTCTGTCCATGAAAGTGTCCCCTCTAGGGAAAGAACATGTGATTTCTTAACCTCTTCCTCTTCAATTTTTTTCATAAGAAACCCTGGGAATTATCAGGCCCCAGAGGACAAAGGCCCCACGGGGAAACCTGCTCAGCCTGCCACCTTCCTGCCCTGCAATGTGTGGCTGCAGCTCAAACCTGGGTGATGACCCATCCAACACTGACTCCCCTCTGCTCCTGCTCAGGCAGGTTGGGTACTAGTTTCCTATTTCAGGTAGGGGGAAGATGGTCCTTATGAATTTACCAAGGAATTCTGTAGCTTCTCAACAAAAGCCTGGAAACAAAGAAGTATTACAAAAAGTAGAATTCTGCCAGCAGCAGTAAATCCAGGATACTCAGAATCCATCTTAATGGACTAACAATGGAAGCAAGATTAGATCAACTTAAGAGTCCAAACTTCAGCTCTGCTACTAAGTCATGGGGAAAACCTGGACCTTACTTATGAACCCAAGCAGAGGGCCCAGTACCACCACCTTTGGCTCTAAAGGCAAACATAGAACAGTTCTTAAAATGTATTTTCAATCCAACTGGAACACAAATCAGACTGGCAGTTGCTGGCACCTGCCATTGAGTGGCAACTCAATGGACTGAGGTCTTCTTTGCAGCTTTAGAAATAGAGGTAGAGACTTCACAACATTGTGGATGTATCAAATGCCAGTGAAGTGTTCATTTCAAAAGGAGTGATTGTTATGTTGTATAAACTTAACCTCAACATAGAAAATCCATTGATAGGGAATTTATGCAATTACCAAAAAAAGACAAACATAATCATGGACATGCATTACACCTTCTGCTCCAGCTGAGGCCACTAGGTAAGACTCCCTTGATCAATCCCAGCCAGGAACCTCATTAGGAGAACACAAGCCTAGCCATTAATGAGAGTTCACCAGACATCCCCTGTCAGTCAGAGAACACAACACAACAAAAACCATGCTGCTTACTTTTGAGCACCCACAAGCAAGCACTGATTTCTAGTAGCAACATTATTTTGATACTATCAAGAGTCCTAAGGTCCTAGAAAAAAAACCTACATTATAAAAGCATTTATATTGGAAATAACAGACAGGGAACTTCACACGCTTGTTTGACAGGGCTTATGTGTTACTTAATGGAACACACATAGTAGCTTTGCAGTCTTTTCCAAGGGATGTACAGATTAGACTGACGTCATCACAAATTTGATATTTTCAAGGGTCTCATATGGATATGCCATTTGCAGATGGACTGATTGTTCCTGAACCCAGCCAAACAAAGGACTGTTTTCATTACATTACCATGTCCCACTGCATCCCTTAAAGGATAAAATGATAACGATTGTTGTACAGATCAAAGGGCTTCCCTCCTCTATTGATCTCCTAGATGATTTGATTGTCCCCATGTTTAATGCTGATGGCTCTGAAGCTTACCAGGTGGCAGTGGGGACCAGCCAAAATCTATAAATCCTTTTTTCACAATCCCTTTCAAATACACCCACGTCTGCGTGTGCACTTCCAAGCACATACACAGCAGGATTATAATGAAACAGTGAGTCATACTGCAGATTCTTCAAGATTTATGGTTCTGCGGTGCCTCAGTAATTCTGAATGAAACAAAAATAGACTAAGCACAGGCTGCAAGGAAAAATGAAGATTGATCGAGCACAGATCTCCGGGCCCACTTCCTCCGCTGGCTAATCACCACGGCCCAGCAGATGGCTACTCTCCCCTGAGGCATCCAGTGGTTCCTGCTTTGTGTCTGAGCCATTCCATTCCAGCTGTATCACAGGTTCTTATGCATTACAAATGCTCAGCAGAGTGAATCAAAACCATTTGTGCACAGCCTGTAGTTTTCGAAGACAATTAGTAGTCCCAGGTTCCAGTCAACTGCTGATTACTGAGTAAGACAGAAGGGCAGCCCTTCATAGAAATGCTTGCTTATTAAAACAAATCTGTGCTGCCACAAGTATGAGTAGATGTGTGATGTCCCTCTCCCGTGACTGCCTGGCATCAGGACTCACACATGATAAGTACAATTTCCAATTACATTTAGTGATAAATGCTCCCTGCTTCTAAAACTTTAATTCAACAAAAAACGAACTCTGACAATTGGAACTGTTCATAGAATTCAGTCTGAAAGAGAAGCAGAGTAGTAAGAGAATTCTGGTTAAAGCAGAGGCCAGGGCCTGGCGGCGTGGCTTAGCGCTAAAGTCCTCGCCTTGAATTACCAGATGGAGGATATTCCTCTCTGTCTCTCCTCCTTTCTATATGTATCTGACTTTGCAATAAAAATAATAACATAAAATATATATTTTTAAAGATTTATTTATTTTTATTGGAAAGTCAGATATACAGAGAGAAAGAGAGGAGGATCTTCCGTCTGATGATTCCCCAAGTGAGCGCAACAACTGATGCTGTGTCCGAAGCCAGGATCCAAAAACAACTTCTGGGTATCCCACATGGGTGCAGGGTCCCAAAGCTCTTGGCCATCCTCAGGCCACAAGCAGGGAGTTGGGTGGGAAGTGGAGCTGCCGGGATTAGAACCGGCGCCCATATGGGATCCCTCCCGGCACGTTCAAGGCGAGGACTTTAGCCGCTAGGCCACGCCGCCGGGCCCTAACATAAAATCTTTTTAAAAAATAACAGAAGGGCCAAGATTGCCAGGTGGCACTCGGACATAAAAGGATTGTACATTTCCTTCTGGACTCTGAAAAGGAGCTTTCTCTGGTCCTTATCTGGTTCTAGCCTTGGCTCCCAGCCCTCTCTTACACCATCAGGGTTGCTTGTGAGCCTGAAAATTAGTTCAGATAGACAGTGACTAATAAAGGTCAGCTAGTTGATAATCACTCTGCTTGTACCTTACTGATCAGGCTTCCCATTATGCTTTTCAGATACACAGAGAGAGACACTGATATGTAAAGTCTGGAACAGCCAGGGAAAAGGCCAACTAGCTTATAATCACTCAACCTGTACTTACTGGTTAGGCTCCCTATTTGCTTCTCCTGGACTTTACTAGGTAGGATGTAGAGTTATATTATTCCTCACTCACTAGGTTGTTGGGGATTTCCTTGCTCACCTGCCTAAAACTTATCTATTCTTCAATTGTTAAAATGCAAAGTTCTGTAAAACCATGCTTAATCACTATATACTGCAAAGTTTAAATTGTGGCTTAAGATTCTCCCCCAAAACTTTATCAATTTATGACTGTTAATGCTAAACAACATGTAACTGCATAGAAACTTTGATGTTAAGTTTGTACTCAGCTGTTACATATGATGGATGTTAATGTTGATCCTTTCACTGTTCCTGTGCCACTCTGATTCAGGTTAAACTCAAAACATGTCAGCATGGGAGGAAAAAAACAAAAACGGTTTATAGCAGCTGGTTGTATATATACTAAAATTGAGATGTCAAGGAAGCAGTTACATGATGTGGTTAAGAACTTGCATTTTCTAACATATTGGTCACTCAGTGCCATATTAATTTACTTCAAACAAAAAATTTTAAAATAAATAAAAAAAAAAAAAAGACTGGGAAAGCAGGGGAGGATACCCTAAAACCTTGGGAGCCTGCACCCATGTAGGATGCCAGGAAGAAGCTCCTGGCTCCTGGCTTCTGATCAGCTCATCTCCAGCCATTGAGACCACCTGGGAGCGAGCCAGCAGATGCAAACTCTTCCTCTCTTGATCTCTCCGTCTCTCTGTAAATCTGCCTTCAAAAAAAAAAAAAAAAAAAAAAAGGTAGAAAATGAACAGAAATATAGAGCACCACCTGCTGGTTCATGCTTCAAGTACCTGCAATAGGCAAGCCTGGCTTAGCTTTAGAGCTGGCCACTAAATCTGCCTTTCAAAGAGAAGTGATGATTTGTACAGCTGCTATCCCATGGCAGTGCCTAGCACATTTTGTGAAGGCAAAGAAGTTGACTAAGTACCTACTTGGTGGCAGTTAAACTTTGATTTGGATACCTTGTCTCTTAAAGGGTTTTGGTTTTCTGCTAAAAATTCATGGTGAACATCAATATTTCAAAGTAGGTTAAAATACATTTTTATTAGATGTTAGAAGAGATTTATACACAATTCACAAATTCCTTATAAAATAACTGCCAACCCTTGTCCAATTTCATCGTACCTCCTGCAGAGTTTTGGAAATTTTTCTGTGAAACAGGGTCTATAAAATATTTCTTTTAGAAAGCCAGTTTTAGGCAACATGTATAAAACAGAAGTCTTGGCATGAAACTGAACTCTCATATATCCATGTTCTTTACCTCAGTGGCAAAAAGATGGCTAAATGAACATTAAATCGACTTACTGAAGAAATAAGTATTCTGTAATCTCAAATTCACCTAAAATACTGTTTTATATTCAGAGAGAGTGCCGTTATGAAGTGTCAACAAACTATAACTCAAAGAAAATGAATGTTCATCAAACTGACATTCCAGTTTTTCCACCTGATATCATAACAAATCATCCATTTGAGAACTGAGGAACATGTCTTTAGTAGTGTTCCTGGTATATATATGAAAAAGATACACATTCGAAACATAACAGCCACATTTAAAAACAGCCAAGTTTTAGTCTCTTATACCCTGTAGTTTAATAGCAACTCTTTGAATCTTCTGCCTGAAAACTCACTTCTTTTCCAAGAGGATGACTACCCAACTGGTGACCTACCAGTGAGCAGAGTCCCAACCATCAGCTTAAAAGCGAATGGGCTGAACGAAGAAGAGAACAGTAGTCAAAGACTTGAGATCAAAAGGAATCTGAAAATTCAATGTTTTGAAATTTTCCCCTGAGTTCTGGATGCTTCTTAGAAACAGGTACATTCCATCATCCCACCTGTGCTTACAAATGTCCTGACTGCGGGGGTCGAACAGCACACAGTGGTGGCAATTACATATTTCATGGAATCTTTGGTGAGATGCAGTCCTGTGGAACAATGTTAACTTTGTCTCTCTCTCTATAATGTCTAGAATCTTCAAGTTATTTTCAGAGGAGAAACCACAAGACCATAATGAAGGACAAGCAGACCATCCTGAAAAGGAAGGGGAGACAAAACAGGTTTTTGAAAATGTTATATACATGACCAAGTCAAAGTTAAATTACTTTTTATAATCAAATACTAACATGAATTTCCCTGACTTCAAGAAAAAAAAAATAAGATCCAAGATTAATATACCTGCTCACTGTGCCCCAACACAGACGACTGCTTGTCAATGCATGTTTTTGATTTTCACAGCCAATGCTGAAATTACCATGTGCCCACAGTTAACTGGGATTATTTATGACTGAGGAATTCTTCAAAAGCAACTAAACAAGATACTTCTCTCCTTCTCCACATTTCCCTTCAGGCTTTTTAAGCATTGGGCTCCTCTGAAACAAAGCATTTAAGGGCCAGCTTTGTGTAACAGAGGTAAGCAGGTGCTCATGACACTGGCATCCCACACCAGATTGTCGATTTCAGCCCTGGCAGCTCCACTTTGGATCCAGATTCCTTCTAATGCACCTGGCAAAAGGGCAGAAGATGGCACAAGAGCTTGGCAGCTTCTGTCACTCATGGGGGAACCCCAGATCAAGTTCCAAGTTCCAAGCACCAGCCAATGTGGCCATTTGGGGAGTGACCTGCTGACTAGAATATCTGTAGTCTCTCTTCTTCCTTTACAGCTTTGTCTTTCAAATAAAATAAATAAATAGGGCTCAGCATGGTAGCCTAGTGGCTAAAGTCCTCACCTTGCACGTGCCAGGATCCCATATGGGCACCAGTTCTAATCCTAGTAGCCCCACTTCCCATCCAGCTCCCTGCTTATGGCCTGGGAAGGCAGTCAAGGATGGCCCAAAGCTTTGGGACCCTTGGAACCTGTGTGGGAGACCCAGAGAAGGCTCTGGGCTCCTGGCTTGAGATTGTCTCGGCTCCGGCCATTATGGCCCCTTGGGGAATAAATCAACAGATGGAAGATCTTCCTCTCTGTCTCTCCTCCTTTCTGTATAACCAACGTTCCAATAGAAAATTTAAAAGTAAATCTTAAATAAATCAATATTTGAAGAAGAAATGGAATATTCATAAATAAATACAGCTTCTCATATTATTATAAATGACGTAACACTGAAGCTGTTACCATCTAATGAAAGCTTATAATATAAGACAGCTTCTTGGAAAAAGAGTATTATGAAAGAACTATGCCTGGATTTCAAAACTCTTTTGCAAAAAATAGGCTCAAATTTTCATAAACTTTCTGAAGTCCCCTCATATATTTTATGTCTTCCTTAAAGACTATCTGGGGACTTACTCAAGGTGCTGTGTTTCCAAGTCTTTTGATCTGCTTTTTGTGGGTTTCTGGCTCCTCAATTGATCTTAGGTTCTAGTTTTTGGGTTCTTGCCAAGACTTCCCTGAGGAGGCAGCATCTCTTCCTGTGGCCTGGAAGGCTACAGTAAAAGGACAACTGGATGGAGATGTGCCACGGACTGTGAACTACGCAGGGCAGTGCTCTCACGCCCTGGCTGCCAAGCCTGCCCTGCTATCACTGCCTGCTGTTTCTTCCCTGCTAAGCTCTTCCACTGCTCCACCTCCTCATTTCTCATTCACTACACCACTCACTGCAATCTGGTTTCTGTTCTTGGCAACCCCAGCTTAAAAAATACACTAGAATTCTAAAAAGAGTTGCAAAATTCAGTTGCCCACAAGACCCAGCAAAGCATCAAGAATGAAAGAGATTTATTCAACAGGAATTTTAAAGTTCAGAGGATAACCTAAAAGCAGACATCCATCTAAATGAATTTAAATTCTAAATCTGAATGCGTGTAAAATACCTAAAACCCCATATTACAGTCAGCCCATGTAAAATCAGATCTGCTCTAAATTAGCTTGATGAGAGCAAATGAATCCATATAACACAAATAAGGACCCCATTAACATTCTCACACTCCTTATAAATTACATTTTCATATTCTTTGCACATATTTAACATTTTGGAAATGAAAAGTATTTTTCAAAATAATATATTAATATGCAAAGATATAAAGTATAGCTTACAAGCTGTTTCAAAATCTCAAAATTATTTCACTGAATGTATAAATCATTTTATTTGGATGTCTACTTATACTTTATATGCCTAAAAATCTGTTATATATTTTAAACATACATGAATACATAATATATCAAACAGTTTATTGCCCTAAAGCTCACATGCTAGGGAGAACAATCTGGCACAGGAACTAAGACATCACTCGGGGACCAGCACAGCAGCTTTGCTGTGGTAACAGCATCCCATATGGGCTTATCTACCAGCTGCTCCACTTCTGGTCCAATTCCCTGCCTATGGCCTGGAAAAGCAGTGGAAGCTAGCTTGAGCCTTGGACCTGTGACATAGCTGGAAGAAGCTCATGGCCCAACTCCAGCCATTGCAATCATATGAAGAGTGAGCCCATGAATAAAGACCTCTCCCCATCTCTCTCTTCCTTTCTGTAAAAAAATTTCAAAGAAAACTTTCTCCTTTTCAGAAAGAAAGAAAAAGAGAGAGAGAGAGAAAGAAAGAGAGAGAGAAAGAAAGAAAGAAAGGAAGAAAAGAAGGAAAGAAAGAAAGAAAGAAAGAAAGAAAGAAAGAAAGAAAGAAAGAAAGGAAGAAAGAAAGAAAGGAAGGAAGGAAGGAAGGAAAGAAAGAAAGAAAGAAAGAAAGACAGGCAGACAGGCAGAAAGGCAGAAAGGCAGGCAGGCATCATTTGGGATGCCTACATCCTAAATCAGGGTATACGGGCATACCTCCCAGGTCTACTAACTCCAGCATCCTGAGAACACCCTGGAAAGTCTCTTGAATAACAGTCTCTGCTACCGAGTTCTGGGCTCCTAGTTTCTACCCATGGCTGTTAGGGGTATTTGTAGACTAGACCAGTAGATGGATGATTGTCCAGTCTATCTTTGTGCTTGTCTCTCTCCACCTTTCAAATACAGTTTAAAAATAAAGTTCATGTGAGCGTAGGTGCAGAGCATGGTGAGCCTCTGCCATATGGATACCAATCTGACTCCGGATGCTTTCATTTTTTATTTGCCTCCCTATTGGGAAGTGGGGAGCAGGGCCCAAGGCATGGGGACCCTACTGATATGAGGGAGAACCAGAAGACAATCCTGGGTCCCTACTTTGTATGTCTGTCTGAAACAATTTTCTACTGTACTGGCTCTGTATTCTTCAAACATCTACTGCAGTACTGGATGAAGGAAAAAGAACAAGGCCTCTGGAATCAAACTGCCTGCGGTGACTGATCTCTGGTCCCCCACTGATTCCATGTAAGAGATTTCATGTCCTGTCTGTATCTCTATCTGCTTATCTTTAAAAAGGAGGATGAAAGCCTGGAGTGATAGGCTAGTGGCTAAAGTCCTCGCCTTGTGTCCACCAGGATCCCATATGGGTACCAATTCATATTCTGGCTACTCCAGTTCCCATCCAGCTCCCTGCTTGTGGCCTGGGAAAGCAGTCAAGGACAGCCCAAGGTCTTGGGACCCTGCACACATTTAAGAGATTCAGAGGAAGCTCCTGGCTCCTGGTTCTAGATTGGCTCAACTCCAACCATTGTCACCACCTGAGGAGTAAACCAGCAGAGATCTTTCTGTATCTCCTTCCATCTGAATATGCTTTTCCAATAAAAGAATAAAAATAAAAAGGTTTAAAAAAAAAAAAAAAACGGAGGAAGAAGCAATACCTACCGAACAGAATACTTCTAAAACCAAATGAGCTAATCCAAACAAACCGTTAAGAACAATGCCCACACAGTAACACCAGCACAGTACACACCACCTATAATTACTAACTTACAGCATAGATATTTTCCAAAAACCTTGAAACATTTATGAAAAATTTTATGAAACTGTTTTTTTCACTGCGTGTTAGGTAAAACTATGATAAACTCTGGGGCTACCTGCATTGCTGCATCGCCTATTGCACGTCGGATTTCCCTTAGAGTCTGATACCGTTCCAATAGGTGGTCGCCACAAATGATATCTACCTGTAGGCAAATAAGAGGACATGACATGCCTGTTTCAAAATATCACCCGAAGAAATGAAGGGAAAAAAACAAAAACAACCGAATTATTCTGAACTGGATTTTGCTTTCACTTTAAGAATGGTTTTAGAAATTTATCATAGAAAAAAAAAAAAAGAAATTTATCATAGGAGAACAGGGCAAACAATATCACAATACAACTATATTCAAAATGATTTCCTTGAATTTCTGGGGGAAAAAAATCCGTAACAACAGACAGGTGTAGTGGCTCAACAGGTTAATCCTCTACTTTGTAGCACTAACATCCCAAATGGGCACTGGTTAGTGTACCAGCCATTCCACTTCCCATCCAGCTCCCTGCTTATGCACAAGGAAAGCTGTGGAGGATGGCTTTTCAGCTCTTGCATCTGCATGGGAGATATAGAAGATGCTCCTGGCTCCTGCCTTTGGATGGGCTCAGCTCTGGCCATGGTGGTCATTCAGGGAGTGAATCAATGGATGGAAGATCTTTATATGTTTCTCCTTCTCTCTGTATCTGCCTTTCAAATAAAAATAAATAAACCCAAAATAAAATGAATAAAAAGGCAATCTTGGGGTGGATGCTTGGTCTAGTGGATAAGATACTACCACTTAGGATACGCACATACTGTACTGGGCAGAAAGCCTTAATTTAAGTCTTGGCTCTGCTCCTGACTAGAGTGTCCTGCTCCTATATTCTGTGAGGGGACAAAGGTTCATTGCTGGGAGCTGGGCACTAAGTGCAGGTCAGCCATGGGAGTAGCAGGAATCCAATGCCATGAGCTTTCATCACTGGCTCCTGTTGTCTGCACTGGTGAAAGCTGGAGTCAGAAACTAGAACCTGGACCTGAACCCAGGCACTCCCACTGGAACACAGGAATTGTAAACAAAAAGCTAAATGCTTACTCCTTTACAAATAGTTTTTAAGAATCATAATTCAGGCCCGGCATGGTGGCCTAGCAGCTCAAGTCCTCACCTTGCATGTGCCGGGACCCATATGGGCACCAGTTCTAATCCCAGTTGCTCCACTTCCCATCCAGCTCACTGCTTGTGGCCTGGAAAAGCAGGAGAGGACAGCCGCAAAGCCTTGGGACCCTGCACCCGCGTGGGAGACCTGGAAAAAGTTCCTGGATCCTGTTTTCAGATTGGCTCAGCTCCGGCCGCTGTGGCTGCTTAGGGAGTGAATAATCAGACTGAAAATTTTCCTCTCTGTCTATCCTTCTCTCTGTTTTTCTGACTTTGCAGTAAAAGTAAATATATCTTTCAAAAAAAAAAAAAAATCCAGCTCGCTACTGCTGTGTCTGAGAAAACAGTGGAAGACCTCCGAAGTGCTTGGGCTCCTGCACTCACATGTCAGTCAAATGAATTAGTGGATGGAAGATCTCTCTGCCTCCTTCTAGCTCTGCCTTCAATAAATAACTAAAATCTTTAAAATATCTGACCATAATATTTGATAAACCATTGCATTCAAACAGAAAGCCTGTTCTTTGTTTTGCATGTCCTCAAGACAATCCATGTCAGGGATTCTGATAGGAGTCACAGAGCTCAGCATAACCCACATTTTTCCCCTTCCAATCCAGGAAGTGAAAACGCAGCCAGCACACACAGGGTTTCCGCTCAGGGAGCCTGTCGGAGGATCAGGCATTGGGGATCATTGAGGGTGAGCACTGGCATTCTCTGTCTAGCAACTTCAAAATGCCAGACACCAGAAGGACAGGAGGTATTCACAGACCCACCATCTGTACAGTCCAACTACAGTGAAACACATTTACCAATTAGCAAACTGCAAGTCAGCAGAGAAACTTACAGCAAGCCAAGTATGTTTACAGCCAAAAGCTAACCTTGTAAGCAAGATTCTTTAACAGCAGCAACCACAGGCCTGCTAGGTGTCTCTTCATAAGCCACACTGGCTTATTCCTTCTTCTTTTGTTGACATTTATTTGTTGCTGTTGTCTTCCATCTGATGAATCACTCCCCAAGTGATCGCAACAGCCAGTGCTGTGCCAATCCGAGACCAGGAGCCAGGAAGTTCTTCCAGGTCTCCCACACAGGGATCCTAAAGCTTCAGAAGTCAAATCTTCTGTATCCCTTGGCTATAGGGTGATCAGACTAGCCATTTCTAGTAACCAGCTCCCATGAGAAACAGCTAGGCTATGTACGGCTCAGTTTGTATCCATGGGTTTAATATATACTTGTGGTTTTTCTTTTTAAAGATTTATTTATTTTCATTGGGAAAGCAGATGTACAAAGAGAAGGAGATACAGAAACAGATTTTCCATCCACTGATTCAATCCCCAGGTAGTCCTAATGGTTGAAGCTGAACAAATCTGAAGCCAGCAGACAGGAGCTTCTTCCAGGTCTACCATGTGGGTGCAGGGTCCCAAGGCTTTGGCGCATCCTCTCCTGCTTTTCCAAGCCACAGGCAGAGAGCAAAACGGGAAGCAGGGCCGCCAGGATTAGAACCAATGCTTATATGGGATCCTGGCGCATGCAAGGTAAGGATTTAGCTACCAGGTCACAGTGCCAGGCCTTAATACATAGTTTTAATATCAGTAGAGCATGGTTATGAAAAAAAAATAGCAAAATTTAAGTCACTCTTTTTACATATCTACTAATTTAGTCAATAGCAAACAGACTATTTTAGATGTGACAGACAATAACAAAACCACCTAAATTTAATTAAAAACAAAGCTACAGAAATGTGCATAGTTGGGCCCAGTGTTGTGGCACACTAAGGAAGCTGTCACCTTTCATACCAGCATCCCATATGAGTATCAGTTGGAATCCCAGCTGCCTTACTTCCACTCCACCTCCCTGATAACAGTCTGGGAAAGCAGCAGAGGACGGCCCAAGTCTGTGTAACCTGGCACCTGGCATTCAATGTGGCAGACACAGAAGCTACTGGCTTCTGGCTTCAACCAGCTTGGCTCCAGTCACTATAACTATTTGGGGAGAGAACCAGCAGATTGGAAACCTCTCTCTAATCCTGCCAGCCAAATACATCAATAATTTTTTTTTTTAAGATTTATTTTAATTATTTTTTTATTGGAAAGGTGGATATACAGAGAGGAGAGACAGAGAGGAAGATCTTCCGTCCGATAATTCACTCCCCAAGTGAGCGCAACGGCCGATGCTATGCCGATCTGAAGCCAGGAGCCTCTTCCGGGTCTCCCACACGGGTGCAGGGTCCCAAAGCTTTGGGCAGTCCTCGACAGCTTTCCTGGGCCACAGGCAGGGAGCTGGAATGGAAGTGGGGCTGCCGGGGATAGAACCGGCGCCCATATGGGATCCCAGGGCGTGCAAGGGGAGGACCTTAACCCCTGCGCCATTGCGCCAGGCCCAATAATTTTTTTAAATGTGCAGTTTTATGGAACCCACATAACCAGAAAGTGTTAACAGCCCATACTTTAATGTTCAACAATACATGAAGTATGAGGTTTCCATCACACAAGGCAACATACAGCTAAAATAAGTTTTTTCCTCAATCCTTGAAACACTAATGGGTTTGTATTATTACACACAGTAATAGATCACTGGGCCTAGATAATTAGATATATCACTTGTTGGCATCTTCAGACTGACTACTGTATCTTAACAACTGACATATGCAAGGACAGCCACTGAAGATAAAGATGGTAAGATGGTAACAATAACAACAAAAAGAGACAATAAGTTGTCTTTTGTTTTACTACCTGAGACGCAAGAGCTGGAACTGAGGCTCTAGGAGCTCTTGAACTTTTCTCATATCCTCAGCTTTTAATCATGATCTAACACCATCATCAATAGCAGTAACAAATGGACAATAAATCAAATGTGATTAGAATTTGGGAGTGGAAGTCATCATATATCACTGTTCAATTAGTATTCACAACATTTATAAACATCACAAAACAAAAACTGGTGCCATGAAATTCTAGAGAATGTTGTTTCTTCAGTCACTTTATAGGAGTAAATCACAGCTTTGCCTTTTACACACATGTACTGTACCTGGCAAGCAGGATCAAGACCCATTTTTCTTCTGAGAAATTTTTCTACATGTCCTATAGTTGCTTCTCCAGAAACTCGCACAAACTTCTTTTCCAAAGGCTACAAAAACAAATAGACAAAACCATTTTCAGCCATAAAGTTAACTGAAAGAGTGATTCAGTGGACTCTGGAAAGAAAAATTATTGAAACATTTGAGTTAAATTACACATCAAAGAAGACAAGAATTATTCTTAGCTTTCTCTCTGAAAAATACGTGAACAACAGAAAGGTTTATCGATTGGTTTTTAGTATCTTATCAAAAATAAAATTCAGAGTAAAATTTATCCATTCATTTTAAAGATTTATTTTTATTATTTTTTTTATTGGAAAGGCGGATATACAGAGAGGAGAGACAGAGAGGAAGATCTTCCGTCCGATGATTCACTCCCCAAGTGAGCGCAACGGCCGATACTATGCCAATCCGAAGCCAGGAGCCTCTTCCGGGTCTCCCACGCGGGTGCAGGGCCCAACAGATGGAAGGCCTCCCACACTGCCCTACTGTTCCCAAAACACAAATAATCCTTTTTTTTTCCTTTTTAAGTTCAGACAGGGACCTGGCACAATATCCTAGTGGCCATGGTTCTCGCCTTGCACCTGCAGGGATCCCATATGGGCACTGATTCATGTCCCAGTTGCTCCATTTCCCATCCAGCTCCCTGCTTGTGGCCTGGGAAAGCAGCAAAGAACAATCCAAAGCCTTGGGAACTTGCACCCACTTGGAAGATGCAGAAGTTCCTGTCTCCTGGCTTTGGATCGGCTCAGCTCCAGCTGTTGTGGCCATTTGGGGAGTGAAACAGTGGATGCAAGATCCTTCTCTCTGTATACCTCCCTTACCAATTACACACATACGTATATACACACACACACACACACATATATAATAGAAATATCATATATTTAAATATAATAAAATTCATATACATTTAATATTTTATATTTATAAATTTTATAAACTTAAATAAATATATTTTTAAACTTAAATTATTATTTTAATATTTTTATTTTATATGAATTTATATATATATAAAAATCTTTTTAAAAGTTCAAATGTCCAAAATCTAGTTTCTTCAACAAAAACTCTACAAGAGAGGAAAATGATGCAGAAAAGTGAATTAAACTAAAAAACATGCAAAAGATGCAAAAGGTATTGGTACTGTAGCGTAACAGGTTAACCTGCTACTGCTTACAAGCTAACATTCCTTCTAAGCTGGTTCAAGTCCAGGTGACTCTGCTTCCAATCTAGCTCACTAGACTGGAGCTGCCTGGAAAAGCAGTACAAGACGGCCCAGGCATTTGTGTCCGTGGGACCCACATGGGAGACCCAGATGTGGAGTTCCTGGCTCGTGGCTACAGCCTGAGCAGCCCAAGCCACTGCAATCTTTGGAATGAACTAGTACATAAAGATTACCTCTTGCCCTCTCTTTCCCTACAGCCCTATCACTCTGCCTTTAAAACACACACACACATTTTCATAGGACAACCCAGAAAAATTAAATAGCACATGGATATTTTAATAAAGTCATTAATTTAAAAAGTCATATATTTACTGATAAATAATAAACTTGACCTGCTTCAAAACTATTTGAGAGAACACAAAGTGGAGAATATGAATGAGATCGGCCAGGATTTATGCATACACATACACACGCATACGTAAGTACAGTGATATACCCAGGGGAGCCCATGATACTGAGAAATAAAAGAGTAAACTTCTAGGAAACTTGAGAAATGTTCTAGCACTATCAAGCAGGTTACATACACACAGGTTATGCACTCAGCTTTCTTCCCTGTAGCTCGGTTAAATACTTCCTAAAACAAATGGCATCTATATTCATATTTCTTTGTTAACTCATTTTTTTTTTTTAAAGATTTATTTATTTATTGGAAAGTCAGATATACAGAGAGGAGGAGAGATAGAGAGGAAGATCTTCTGACCGATGATTCATTCCCCAAGTGAGCGCAACGGCTGATGCTATGCCAATCCGAAGCCAGGAGCCAGGAACTTCTTCCGGGTCTCCCACACGGGTGCAGGGTCCCAAAGCCTTGGGCTGTCTTTCACTACTTTCCCAGGCCACAAGCAGGGAGCTGGATGGGAAGTGGAGCTGCCGGGATTAGAACCAGCGCCCATATGGGATCCCGGTGCGTTCAAGGCAAGGACTTTTAGCCGCTAGGCCACACCACCAGGCCCAACTCATTTATTTTGAAGGATGAGTGACAGACAGACATAATGCATCTGCTGATTGACTCTCTAAATAGCCACAGAAGGCAGGAGCTTCATCCAGATCTCTTATGTAGACAGCAGGCAAGGGCTCAAGTATTTGGGCAATCTGCTGCTGCTTTTCCAAGAATACCAGTAGAAATCTGGATTAGAGGGCTATTCCCATTGACTAAATCCTCGCCTGCATACTCCTCCACCCAGTGTGTGTGTTAGTTTGTGTCCTGGCTGTTCCACTTCCCATCCAGCTCCCTGCTTGTGGCCTGGGAAAGCAGTCGAGGATGGCCCAAAGCCTTGGGACCCTGCACCCACGTGGGAGACCAGGAGGAGGTTCCTGGTTCCTGGCTTCAGATTGGCTCAGCTCCAGTCGTTGCGCTCACTTGGGGAGTGAACCATCAGACAGAAGATCTTCCTCTCTGTCTCTCCTCCTCTCTGTGTATCTGACTTTGTAATAAAAATAAATAAATCTTAAAAAAAGAAAGAGAGAGATATCAGTAACTTTGATTTCTATTTTTATTTTAATAAAAGAAACATGCTGTTAACTGCTAATCTGACTCAAACTATGTGCTAGAGTCCTCTTGTGAAAACAATGAAAAAAGAATACCTTAAAATGTCCCGTGCCTTCATTAGCACTGAAAAACGAAAACAAAATTAATCAGTACAATACTATAACTATGTTTGATCATTAAGCAATAAACATCAACATAACTATTTGAGAAACAGCCATTAATTTGTTTTAAAACTTTAATGAAATAAAAGCATGTGCTCAGAAAATAATTTCTGCTACCTAATGATATGGAAAACTGCTTTATTGACTATTTTACTTTCTGTGCTTAATTACAGATGCAGTCTTCCTTGTTTTGATAGAAAACATCAGAATTCATTTTACTCACCTTTTTTGAGTTGCAGTTGACAAAACTACATACTAATAGTGTGCCTGCTTTCATGTGCACACACAGACCAATGACTAGAGCAACTAACGGAATATTTGCTTTTTTTTTATGTGAGCAATTTTTTAAATATACATTACTACTAACTGAAGTCACTATCCTGTACAACCAGTTTTCAGGATAAAATACATTCTTAAAAATTTAGGTTTTCCTCACCCATTTGGCATTTAACTTCCCAAAGCTAAAGGTCTGGGAAAGCCTTGGGCACATGAGGGAGCTGGGAGAGGCTCCTGGAAGATAAAGCTCTCTTTTCCCTGTAATTCTGCCTTTCAAATAACAAGTAAATAAATAAATAAATAAAAGGGAGGGGCGTTTCAACAAAAAGCCAAAATCAGAATTGCACCATTTTAAGGATACTCTTCATAACAAAAAATATAATACCTAAATACAACATAATTTATACGGTAAATGCACACATGTAAATTATGTTATAAATAAATAACAGATTACATTAATATATGAAACATAAGTACACATATATAAACACAAATGATTATAGTATAGAATGCATTGGCATTTATCTTCTGCTTGAAAATTTTAGAATTCTTGGTTTTTGTTTATTTGTAACTACCTCAAAGACAGAATGACATAGAGTGGGCTGGAGAATCAACCTTCCATCTGCTGATTCTGCAACAGCTAGGACAGGGTCAAGTTGAACCCAGGTTCCATCTGCAACAGCCAGGACAGGGTCAGGTTGAACCCAGGTTCCATCTGCAACAGCCAGGACAGGGTCAGGTTGAATCCAGGAGCCAGGAACTCCATCTAGTTTCCCACATGGGTGACAAAGGCCCAAGTGCTTCAGGCATCATCTACTGCCTTTCATGAGACATTAGCAGAAAACTGGATCAGAAGTGGCAAGGACTCGAATCAACACTCTGACAGGAGTCATGGGCACTGATAACAATAGCTTAACCCACTGAATGCCGCACCCACCTGAGGGGTAACTGACAAGTCAGGCCACTATGTTTACAATCTCTTTTGCACCCAATCAACCATGTTCCTCCCTGTAACTTATACCAATGATTCTAGCTTGCCTCTTGGTACTTTTATGAGCTAGACCAATTTTCTTTTACATGAACTGTAAGATGAAAAACTGGCTCACTAAACTAAGACTAGGGAAAATGAATAAAGAGTAAAAAACTGGCATTGCCATTCTTTTAGCAATGGCTTATTTTTAAAGCCAGATAACAAGGATGCCAGCTTTTCACTCCTTATACATTTTCCCCAGTCTTGGTTTATTTTTTAAAGATTTACTTACTTTTATTGGGAAGGCAGATTTACAGAGCAGAGACACAGAGAGATCTTCCATCTGCTGGCTCACACCCCAAATGGACAAAACAGCTAGAGTTGGGCTAGTCTGAAGTCAGGAGCTTAATCCAGGTCTCCCACATGGGTACAGGGGCCCAAGCACGTGGCACTTTCTCCACTACTTTCTCAGACCCTCAGCAGGGAGTTAGATTGGAAGTGGACCATCTGGGACTCAACTGCCACCCATATGGGATTCCAGCACTGCAAGCAGATACTACCACACCATGATGCCAGTCCCAGATTGCTTTATAATTAATCTTAAGGGCTGTTGGGAAAATTGATTCACCTGCATTCAGGATGATTTTTAACTGCTAGGACCTAAGCAATTATTTAAGATAAATTTTTAGGATACTTACCCAATAAACTCCAATAATAAAGACGTATCAAGTTCAGGTGGAATACGAAACACAGATTCTAGGACTTTCTTAGATCTTCCTTTGCTTGAAGGCACTGACTGTGGAACAGCTATTTGAGAAATACAAAAAAAGGAAACTAATGTAGCACTAAAATTTCATAAATTGAGATATTTTAAAACAATTACACAGGTAGTCATCAGCTATGTGAAAGATCACAAAGCATTCAACCAACCTTCTTTTAGTAGCTCCAGCTTATCTATCAAAGCTAATGCAATCGGCGCCCAGCTTGGGGGTCACGCTGCAACAGGTTAGCCAGGGCCACAGAGAACTTGGCCGATTCCCAGATGACCCTTTACAAGCACGACCATGTGGTTCACACTTGGCACTTTACAAGCATCCACTCAGTTGATTTTTATTATAATCATATGTTATAGGGACTAGTGCTGCTCTTCTACCATCACCACCACCCCTCCCAAATAACAGACTTTGAAGTTGTGGCAGCTAAGCTATCACTTGGGACAGCCATAACCCTGAGAGGCAGCAAATGATGTTCCCACCAAATGGGAGACCTGGGTAGGTTTTTAGGCTCGTTGCTTTGGCCTGGCCCAGACTCAACTATTGCAGGCATTTGGGAAGTAAACTGGTGGATGTCCCTCTTTTATTTACTCAAGTTCTCCCTGCCTCAAACAGCAATCAGGCCTTATTACTGATTAGATTAAGGGACGTGGGACAGCCGAGGCCCTTATGAGTGCAGGGCTCACCCCTTGCCCAAGAGAGCACTGTTGGGGATGTATCGCATTTCTCAGCTAGCAGGGATGAGCTGCTTCTCAGCCACCAGGTTTTCAAATTCATTTGCACTGAACTTAGCAAAGGCCCATTTCTTTGAGATATGAATCTTGTGGCAACCAGGGAACTTGAACTTGGCCCTGCATAGGACCTCAACCATATTCTTTGTTCTGCAGCTTGATGCAGACAAACATACATGATTTGGCCTATGTGAACCCTGGCTACTAAGCCTTGGAGCTTTGCAAAAGCACCCTGCATTCCTGTCTGCAGCCTACATGAGGAACAGCACCAGATCAGAGGCAGGAATGGGCACTGTCAGGACTGTCTCCAAGGTCCCTTAGAACAACCCATACAAGCAACAGGTTGCATACACTACCAAGGAGTCTGCTGTCTGCAGACATTGCACACCAGGCACCCATGAAGCAAGAGAGCTGGTCGGCTTAATTAGCTGCAGATTTTTTTTTTTTTGGAAAAAAAAGTTTGTACTACAGAGAGAGACGGAAAGCTTTTTTATCTGCTGGTCCACTCGTTACAAGGACAGAACCACAAACACTCAGACAAGCTGAAGCCAGGAACCAAGATTTTCACCTGTCAGCCGTGTGGGTAGCAGAGGCTTCAGACATTAAGACCATCTTCTACTGCTTTTCCCAGTAACAGGGAGCTGGATCAGATCTGGCATACATATGGAATGCCAGCATCACAGGTAGCTGCTTTACCCACTATAACACTCTCCTGGCCCCATATCTCCATCATCCATCTTTCAAATGTAAAACAAACTGGGCATGGTGTGATGGCTCAATTAGCTAATACACCATCCTGCAAGCACCAGTTCATGTCCCAGCTGCTCCACTTTCAATCCAACTCCCAGCTTGTGCCCGCGAGAGCAGAGGAAGATGGCCCAAAGTTTTGGGACCCTGCACCCACATGAGAGACCCAAAAGAAACTCCTGGCTTCAGAGAAGCTCAGCTCTGGCTGTTGTGGCCCTTTGGAGGAGTGAAACAGGCAGACAGAAGATCTTTCTGTGTCTTCGCTTTATAAATCTGCCTCTCCAGATTTTTAATCTTTAATCTGCCTTTAAAAGAAAAAAAGGAAAAGAAACTAAAAGGGGCCAATATTGTGGCCTGCAACATCAGCATCCCATATCAAAGTGCTGGTTCGAGTCCTGGCTGCTCTGCTTTTGATTCAGTTCCCTACTGAAATGCCTAAGAAAATAACAAAGGATGGTCCAAGTACTACGGCCTCTGCCACCCAAGCGGGAGACCCAGGTGGAATCCCAGGGTCCTGGCTTAGGCATGGATTAGCCCCAGCCTCTGTAGCCATGTGTGGAGTGAACCAGTGAATGGAACATCTCTCAGTCACTCGGCCTTTTAAATAAACAAATAAATCTTAAAGGGAAAGAAAAGTAAACAGGTTTAGTGAAATCAAGCAATTTGCCTAGGGTAAACCAGGTAATATGTGTGGATGAACTAGGTTTAAACCCAACTCTGTCTGAGTATGAAACACTTATGCTGTGACACTACCAAGATCACAAAAACACTGATGTTGAGCAGTTACAAAGTGCCAGGCACGCATTGTTTTGAATGTTTGCGTCTTTCAATGCATGTTTTTTTTTTTTAATGAATTGCTAGTATTATCACCATTTTATAGATAAAACTGAAACACTAATGGAATTTAGTAAAGTCACACACCAGATGAAGTGGTGGAGCCAGGAACAAAAGTTAGAAAAGTTAGTTCCATAGACTAAATATTTTATGATTCCTATAAACAAAATGGATTACACCAAAACATTATCTTTAAAATCAAATTCTGGTCATTTAGTAACTAGTCATCCCCAAAGAATTTCAAAGAGCAGAGATTTTATTAATATTCTTTAAAAACATATCATAGTATATACCCAAACTTACCAGGTTTAGGTACTTCAAGACCTCTTTCTTTATAGAAATCATGCATTTGCTTTTTTTCTCCTAAAAAAATGATAAAACACAGACTACATTACACTTAAAATGTAACAAGCAGAGCCAGAGACTCTGGGATTCACAACTATGTAATAAAAGAAACTTACTTTCCTCTAGATTGATCACTAATTTGTATACTATGTCTTGTAACTGTCGGTCCAACCTAATAAAAGCAAAGGATGGAGAACACCTCAGAATTCAGCAAAACGCACTGCAGTACAGAGTTGACTGTGTTCCCACCTGCGATGAACACCTTCTTGCTGAGAAGCCAGCTGCTGGCCAACAGCACTCACAGCCCCTGAGACAGAACTGCTCTAGCAGAACCTCAAGTCATCACAAGCAATCAGATTCTTGAATTTGTCCCTGAATTATTCCTTCTGTACCAGCCCAACTCCCTCCACAGGGAATGTGAGCCTCAGGGCAGAGCCCTGATTTGTATCTTCCTTACCCTCTGTCAAACTCTCTCCTAGGAACATACTATAAACCCAATGGTGTTTCCTCAAGGACCCAAAGTCAACTACCTTTCGCATTCTCCTTGGAAGCTTAGCACAAACTGAAAAGCTGGTTAGTGGGCCACAGCCACCCAGGACAAGGAGATTTGCCTAGAGGATACCTCTATCCAGGTACTAACTCTAAAGAAAACAAACAAAAGGTTCTGAGACAGAGTTTCATTTGTTTTAATAAGGGTCTTTACTGAGCCCAGCAAGATAGTCTAGTGGCTGAAGTTCTCGCCTTGCATGCACCAGGATCCCATATGGGAGCTAATCCCAGCAGCCCTGCTTCCCATCCAGCTCCCTGCTTGTGGTTTGAGAAAGTAGTCAAGGACGGCCTAAAGCCACTGCGGCCACTTGGGGAGTGAATCAGTGGAAGGAAGATCTTCCTGTCTCTCGTCCTCTCTGTATATCTGACTTTCCAATAAGAATACATAAACCCTTAAAAAATAAAAATTAAAAGTAAATAAATTAATTAATTAATCAAAAGTCCCCAACAAGACCTAGTATGATGGCCCAATTGTCTAATCATTCACTTATAAGTACCAACATCATTCCATGTCTAGGCTGCTCCACTTTCCATCCAGCTCCTTGCCTGTGCCTGGAAAAGTAGCAGAGAATGATGGCACAAGGATGATGGAACCCTGCACCTGCATGGGAGACCCAAAGAAGCTCCTGGATCCTGGCTTTGGATTTGCTTAGTCCTGACCACTATGGCCTGTTAGGGGGCAAACCAGTGGATAAAGATCTTTCTCTCTGTAAAGCTGCCTTTCCAATTAAAACAATCATGGTCCTTCAGGTTGGAACCCTCTCTCTATCCACCCTTATACCCCCGCCAGAAAGAAAAAAAAAGTTCCCAGCAGACGTGGCTGGTGACATGACAAAGCAGATTAAGCTGGCGAAGCCATCATCCTGTATCAGAGTGTCAGCTGTCCCAGCTACTCTGCTTCCTACACAGCTTCCTGCTAATGAGCCTGGGAGCTCAGCAGAAGATGGCCCAAGTGCTTGGGAACTGCTACCCATGCTTACATTCCCCAGCAGAAAGCACAGTGCCCAGAACACATACGTGGTCTACACACATTTCCCAGAGGCATACGTAATTCCCAGTCTTTTAATTTCTAGAGCAATCAAGAATCAATTCCCATACAAATCAAGCTTTCCAGAAAGTATACTTAAAACCATGAGTACTTCATATATTCCTCTTACCTTATGTTATAAAGAGGTTGTGTTTGATGCACCACTATGTTGCATTTTGGACATCTATTGCTATAGTAAAAGTGTCTTACAATACAGCTTTTACAAACTGTTAGAAAAGGGGGAAAAATGTGAAATTAGGATATTTAAAAAACATTTCAAAAAATGAAACAATTATTCAGAAATGTGAACCGTATGCTTACAGGTATGAAGACACTCCGTAATGGTAGTTGCATCTATTAAGTAACCCTTGCAAATGGAACAGAGGATGTATGGGGTCAGCTCGGAGAGATTAATCAGGCGCTGCAAATACAATGAAAACGGGTTTCAAAGACAGATCTCCTTCTCAAAGTCTCAAAAATTCCTTATAAACAATGTATATAACTTAATGGCAACAATGAAATGTAACAACGCTGAAAGATATAACGCAACAGAAGCCAAATGTTTCTCTTTGGATATGCTGCACACTGCCAGTAAGGGGCAATCAACTTCACAAATGCAAATAGGCAAACTCTCCAGACCCTGGGGTCCAAGCAGAATTAAACTAACCCGGACTCACCAGGTATATTGGACAAGTTGATGGACAAGGCGTTAGCTACTAAGATGCAACAGATACGCACTTTTCCAAACAAACAGAATAGATGGTTAAGGGCTCATCATCCCTTTCATCCCCTTCTATCAACTGAGGCTGGCTCTGCCGCACACTCCCGGAGGGCAGGGCACGGTGCCCCCTGCCACCCCAGAGCCACTGGACTTGGCAGAAAGACTCGAGCACCCGGCATCCCAGGGACTCGCGGGGAGTCCAAGCGACCCTGCGGGGTGCGAAGTGCCGCGCCGGAGGCCGGAACCAAGCGCCCGAGCGGGAGGGCGAGGCTCTGAGAGCGAGCGCGCGGCGGCAGCGACCCGGAGACACCCGACCACCACCATCACCGACCTCCTCCTCGTCCTCCGAGTCCGCCCGGCCCCCCTCCAGCCTCAGCGAGAAGTGGCTCAACTCTTCTTCTTCCTCCTCCTCTTCGTCCTCCTCCAGCTCCTCGTCCTCCTCCAGCTCCTCGTCGTCGTCCTCGAAGCGGCCCGTCAGGCGACCCAGGCTGCGTTCCAGGTCTAGCGCGAGCGGCCGGGAGCCCGAGCAGCCGGGAGCCCCCGCCTCGGGCACCAGTGCCTGGCCCTCCTCCTCGGCTGGCGGCTCCGGGGTGAGGACGGGCGGGGAGCCGGGAGGCGGCGGCGGCGTGGCCGCGGCTCCCTCGGCCTCGGCAGCGCCCGCGGGGCCCGCGGCGGCTAACGCGACCTCCTCCATGGCCCCGGTGCAGACCTGGGTCAGGCGAGACCAGACGGCGGTAGAGCGCGGGAGCTCCACCGGCCTGCCTCCGCGGCCAGTGCGCAGGCGTGTGCGCCCAGAGGGGCTGCTGGGAAATGTGGTTCACCTAGGGCAGGTGCCTGGGCGGTACTTGACGACAGTCGCTTCCACGACTTTCACTCCGTTTTCCCTCTGAGAGGTTTGACAGGTTCATCACGCAGGGCGCAATAATTTCTTTTTTCCTTCTTTCCTTTCTCCCTCTCTTGCTTCCTTCCTTCTACAGGGAGGCAAACAGTGCCACATGCTGGTTCTCTTCCCCCACGCCCGCGAAAGCCCCAGCTGGTGCACATTAAAGCGGAAACTCAATCTGGGTCTCCCACTTGAATGGCAGGGACCCAACTGCTTGAGCTGGTCTCCCAGGCAGCTGGCATAGGAACCATGATTCCTATATAGGTACTCTGATGCAGGATGCTGGCTTCCCTGTCCCAAAGCTTATTTCTATTAGGAAGTATGAAGTTCTTGTTTGAAATAGGCAAATGTATTTCAAGGGATCAAACATTGTATTGCCATAGGATGGAAAGCTAATTGCTGTTCAAACACTACCGGTGACACGCCATCACTGAAAAGCGAATTACATTCAGCTCATTTATTTAAGGGAGCTTCATGGTATTGAAGCACATCCACACACATTCCACCATGTAATGTTATTAGGGGTAAGTCTGGACTTGGCTTATGTTATCCTCGGCAACTAATATGTTGCCAATTAATGTCATAATGTCAACAACCCAGGTTCAAAAGGCCAGAGCATCTTTTTTGGTATAGGTTTCTTTAGACGTACTTAAAGGTCAGAGAAAGAGAGAGGCGGGGCAAGGGGGGTTATCTTCCATCTCTTGGTTTACTCCCCTTATGGCCAAACCAGACCCAGGAATCAGGAGCTTCATCCAGGTCTTCCACACAGACAGCAGAGGCCCAAACAGTTGAACTGTCTTCCACTGCTTCTCCCAGGCCATCAGCAGGAAGCTGGGTCAGAAGTGGAATGGCTGGGCATGAACTGTCATACCGATATGCCACCACACCAGCCCCCAAAGGCTCCTTACCAGAAAAATGCCGGGGCCAAGTCACATGTGAGAGACCAATGTGTTCTTAGAGAGTTGAATTAAAGGTAACTAGGGAATGGTTCACTTACTTTCTAGGTGAGTCATCATGCTTGCTCCAAGAAAATCATACCAGATTGGGTGTACCCACTGCTCTTGGACCAGAGCTCAGCCCTCCCTCTGTGGTCCCATAGTCTGGTCCAGCATAGAGATACTGAAGTCTGCAAGACTCTAGAATGGGGAGAAAGAAGTAACATTCCTCTAGGCTGAGGGGTGTTAATCCTGGAAGGAATGAGGGTGAGAACTGGATGGTGGTATTGGCGGAATGTGGTTGGAAACAGATAGATAGGAAAAACTAGACCTAGACATAAAAAGTGAAGTAGGGAAGAGACTCATGCAGTCACTCAAGAGGAAATCCAATCTCTGAGCATCGTAAGGCCCCAACCCTGGCTGTCTGAGCCCTTGCCGAGGTGTTGCTGTTAAGGTATTTTGTAGATGATCAGTTAATTTTCAGCAAAGATCATCCTTGATAATCTCGGTGGACAGGCTCAGTTAGTTGAAAAGCAACGAAGATCTCTCTGAGGCAGAAGTCCTTCCCCTGTGGACCTGCAGCATCAGCACTGGTCCAGGGGCGTCCAGCCTGTAGGGCTGTCCGACAGGTTTCAAGCTTGCCAAGTCAGCTCCCACAGCCTAAAGTGGTGATGAATATAAATAGGAGACTGATATTAGAATGCAGTGTGTTAAGCTGACACCTGGCAACACATGCCTGCCCCTCAGAGCAGAGAGCCAGATCCAGTCTGAGCTGCTCCACTTCTGATCCATCTCCCTGGTAATGCACCTGGGAAAACAGCAGAAGATGGCCGAAGTCCTTGAGCTCAGCCACCAATGTGGGAAATCGGGTTGCACTTCCAGGCTCCTAGCTTCAGCCTGGCCCACCCTGGGGATGTTGTGGCCATTTGAAGAGTGAACCATTGGATGAAATATTTCTCTGTCTCTCCACCTTTCAGAAAAATAAGTAGTAAGACAAGTAAGTAAGAAGTAAGTCGTTATAAATATATAAATAAAATATAAAGTCCTTGCCATAAATTTCTTTCTTCTTAAAGATTTATTTATTTTTACTGCAAAGTCATATATACAGCGAGGAGAGATAAAGAGAAAGATCTGGGCCCGGTGGCGTGGCCTAGTGGCTAAAGTTCTCACCTTGATCGCCCCGGGATCCCATATTGGTGCTGGTTCTAATCCCGGCAGCTCCACTTCCCATCCAGCTCCCTGCTTGTGGCCTGGGAAAGCAGTCAAGGACAGCCCAATGCTTTGGGACCCTGCACCTGTGTGGGAGACCTGGAAAAGGTTCCTGGTTCCTGGCTTCGGATCGGCACAGAACCGGCCATTGCGCTCACTTGGGGAATGAATCATTGGATGGAAGATCTTCTCTGTCTCTCCTCCTCTCTGTATATCTGACTTTGTAATAAAAATGAATAAATCTTAAAAAAAAAAAAAGAGGAAGATCTTCTGTCCGATGATTCACTCCCCATGTGAATACAAAGGCTGGAGCTGAGACGATCTAAAGCCAGGAGCCAGGAACTTCCTCCAGGTCTCCCACGTGGGTGCAGGGTCCCAAGGCATTGGGCTATTAGCCACTAGGCCACCACTCAAGGCCCTTTGCCATAAATTTCTTTTCTTTTTAATCTATTTCCTTTTTATTGCAAAGTCTTTTTATGCTTGGAGATAGCAGGCAATGGCTCAAGCACTCGAGGCCCAGCCTTCTACACGGGAGACACAGATGGAATTCCAACTTACTGGGTTAGGCCTGGCCCAGCCCAGGCTACTGAGTGCAATAGCCAGTAAAGCAACAGATACCAAGATCTCTCTCTTTCTCCCTCTGCCTTTCCATCCATTGTTCTGCCATTCAAGCAGATGAAAACAGATGAATATAAATAAATAAATAGATAAATAAAAATGAGATGCCAGCTTCCCATATGGGAACCAGTTTGTTTCTTGGCTGATCTATATCGACCCAGCTCCCTAACAGCTGGGGAAAAGCAGTGGAGGATGGTCCAAGTGCTTGCACTGCTGCTATCCACATGTTAGACCCAGGTGGAGCTCCTGTCTCCTGGCTTTGGTCTGGCCAAGTTCCAGAAGTTACAACCATGCAGAGGATGAACCAGAGGATAAGAGCTCTCTCTTTCTCTCTCTCCCTCTCATTCTTTTTTTAAAAATTTTATATATTTTTATTGGAAAGGCAGATATACAGAGAGGAGGAGAGACAGAGAGGAAGATCTTCGGTCCAATGGGTCACTCCCCAAGCAGCCACAACAGCTGGAGCTGAGCCAATCCAAAGCCAGGAGTCAGGAGCATTTCTGGGTCTTTCACATGGGTGCAGGATCCTAAGGCTTTGGGCTGTCCTCGACTGCATTCCCAGGCTGTTGCGCCAGGCCCTCCCTCTCATTTTTTACAACTCTGATTTTTAAATAAATAATTCTTTAAGAAAATTATATTTTAGGTCCCAGCACGGTGACCTAGTGACTAAAGTACTTGCCTTGAACGTGCTGGGATCTCATATGGGCATCAGTTCTAATCCCGGCGGCCCTGCTTCCCATGCAGCTCCCTGCTTGTGGCCTGGGAAAGCAGTAGAGGACAGCCCAAAGCCTTGGGATCCAGAACCCACATGGGAGACTTGGAAGAAGCTCCTGGTTCCTGGTTTTGGATTGGCTCAGCTCCAGCCATTGCAGCTACTTGGGGAGTGAACCAGTGGATGAAGATATTTCTCTCTGTCTTTCCTTCTCTCTGTAAATCTGTCTTTCCAGGAAAAATAAATCTTTTAAGAAATGATGGTGGGCCTGGCATGGTAGTCTAGCAGCTAAAGTCTCGCACTGAACAGGCCAGAATCCCATATGAATGCTGATTCATATGGTGGCAGCCTCGCTTCGCACCTAGTTCTGGGCTTGGGCTCCTGGTTTCGGATTGGCTCAGATCTGGCCATTGTGGCACCTTCCTCTCTGTCTCTTCGCCTCTCTATATATCTTTCTAATAAAAATAAAATAAATCTTAAGGGCCAGCAGCGTGGCCTAGTGGCTAAAGTCCTTGCCTTGAACGCACTGGGATCCTACATGGGCGCTGGTTCTAATCCCACCAGCCTCACTTCCAATCCAGCACCCTGCTTGTGACCTGGGAAAGCAGTCGATCATGGCCCAATGCTTTGGGACCCTGCACCCGTGCGGGAGACCCGGAAAAGCTCCTGGATCCTGGCTTTGGATTGGCATAGCACCAGCCATTGCTCTCACTTGGGGAGTGAATCATTGGACGGAAAATCTTCCTCTCTGTCTCTCCTCCTCTGTGTATATCTGACTTTGCAATAAAAATAAAATTAACCTTAAAAAATTAAGAAAAAAATTTCAAAACCTAAAAATGATGGTTATAAAGACTGTATAACATAACAGAAATGCTTAGATAACCCCCACACACATATTGCATTGTTGCAATTGTATAAGAAGAAACTTGACAAAGTAGCAAAATGTTATTAACTGGTTAGAATGTTGCCGTTTTTAGTAGTAAGAACTATGTTTGAATACTGGAAAATAAATGTAAATTAATGAAGGAAAATAAAGCCTGAGAGAAACAAGTTTTTTTTTCAAGTTATACACATACAAATGGAAAAACAAATAATCAAGAATAGCTGGGAAACCATCACTAAGAAACAACCTCTACCCAGCATTAAACATACCATGCATGGCTCTCTAATGAAATCACTATGCAGGGTGTCTCTTCCTGTCTTGTCTCAGGAGGCAATCCATCATCTGGCTTTCCCCTGGAAGGAGCTCTCCTGCCCCTCTTCCTTCACATTCACATATACAATTCACAAATAGAATTTATCTGTCTACCAAAACAAAAAGAAAGAAAGAAAAAAAGAAAAAAAAACACCTCTGTACTACTACATGAACAAACATACAAGCCAGAAATATAATGGAAAATCCAGAAATA